AATTACTGTGGCAGTTGCTTCAAACATCAGATGTGGGCTAGTGTTGTAGTGCACTCTTTTCTTACCAGCTCTGCAGTTTGGGGTAGATCAGCTGCCGTGAATCTTGCTGTAGTAATAACCACATCCGTAACTTGCTAGAGGAATCATGCTGTGAACTCCTGAGTACAGTGCTGTACAGCTCATGTTCTGAACATAGCAGTTGCCTCTCTTTGTCCTTATTCATTATTGAAGTTGTTGTGACCCCTTTATGACATGTACTGATGATTAATTTACGACAGTTTTCACACTGTTGCCAGTAGTCTCTAAAAGATTTTCCATCTCCATCTGCGTACTCTTATTGTGATACCACTTTCACTTATCATTAATAATAGTTACAGTTTTCTTAGATGCTTCCTTAATGTGAGTGTAATATACATTTAATTAAGTACTTATTAATGTAGGTAATACTTATGGTCAAGTTATTGTTCTATAAGGAGAGAACTTAGATGTAGGTAGATAAGTGTCCTCCCTGGCTGGCTGATTGCTTATGTCTTTTGTACTTTTCTCTTTTCTTATCTGCAGTCATAGTAGGTCAGGGTTTCCTGAAAGTGAGGACCAGGATTATTGCAGTACAAATTCAAATTTATTTTTAGGTTCTCTCAACAGCAGGAAGTGTCCATGTGAGTGAAGTTAGTTTGCTGAGAATCTTCTCAAAGTCAGTACCACAATGTGAAGGAGACTTAGGGCATTACGAGCTGTGTGTGGCTTCATTGCCAGTCCTTTACCAGTCCTTCCACTAGTGTTGGCCAAGTGTGTCCCTCAGTCTTCTCAGTAGATTGTTGGCTTTATCATCATCACAGCACCTCAGTGACTGTATGGCAGTAGCATGGTACACATTTGACCTTAGTTTATTATCAGAAGTAGGACTTTGCTTTGTGCTAATTTGGTTGTCTATATCCCAAGGAGTACTCAGTACTCAGTACTATTGTTTTGTTTTGGGGTTTAAGTATTCAGATATTTTTGTTAATGTGAAAACTTAACTCTGGTATTTGGATTATTTGTATTTTTTTCTTATTAGAAAACCCTTTTGAACGGTGGCTAACATTTAATATTATCAGATAAACTGCCCAAGTAGTATGTATTTCTAGATTGTTTGCTGTTTTTAAGACAGTTTTTTTATTTCAATTTTTTTCTTTTCTTTTATTATTATTATTAATTACACTTTATTCATTTTGTATCCCCCCATAAGCCCCTCCCTCCTCCCCTCCCGATCCCACCCTACCTCCCCTTTCTTCATGCATGCTCCTCCCCACGTCCACTGATAGGGGAGGTCCTCCTCTCCTTCCTTCTGATCTTAGTCTATCAGATCACATCAGGAATGGCTGCATTGTCTTCTTCTGTGGCCTGGTAAGGCTGCTCCCCACTCAGGGGGAGGTGATCAAAGAGCAGGCCAATCAGATTATGTCAGAAGCAGTCCCTCTTCCCATCACTATGTAAGCCACTTGGACACTAAACTGCCATGGGCTACATCTGTGCAGGGGTTCTAGGTTATCTCCATGAATAGTCCTTGGTTGGAGTATGAGTCTTTGGGAAGTTCCCTGTGTTCAAATTTTCTTGTTCTGTTGCTCTCCTTGTGGAGTTCCTGTCCTCTCCAGCTCTTACTATTTCCCACTTCTTACATAAAATTCCATTCACCCTGCTTGCCAGTTGGCCATCAGGCTCAGCATCTGTTTTGATAGTCTGCAGGGCAGAGGCTTTCAGATGCCCTCTGTGGCAGGTTCCTAGGTTGTTTCCTGTTTTCTTCTTCTGATGTCCATCCTCTTTGCCTGGGAGGCACAATGACTGTGTTTTATGGCCGCGAGTTCTGATTGCTGGTCACTGTGCTAATCCTGCTGCTGCTGCTCAGAATGAGAGTCCTCCCGGCACCGCCTTAAGACAGTTTTTAACTTCCTCAGAAAATACACTTCTTACATTTTATTATATCTGCAGTGTAAGAAAAAGCTTGCAATTTTAGGTTTAGACATAGAATTGTTATCCAGCCATTAATATTAACCAAGTTAGTGATTTCTTTTTTTCTCTTATACTGATTTCTTTTGCTGCAGACTCTTTTAACATTAAAATTTTTCTTTCTTTCTAAATGAGGATTGGTCTTAACCAAGGATCTTAACCAAGGCCCTCCTTCTTGCTCAGCTTCTTTAGGTGTACAGATTTTAGTATGTGTGTTCTATATTTTATTTCTGATATCCACTTATAAGTGAGTATATATCATGTGTGTCTTTCTGCTTCTGGGATGCCTCACTCAGGATGATCTTTTCTAGATCCCACCATTTGCCTGCAAATTTAATGATTTCCTTGCTTTTAATTGCTGATTAGTATTCCATTATGTAAGTGTACCACAATTTCTGCATCCATTCCTTCATTGAGGGGTATCTGGGTTATTTCCAGCTTCTGGCTATTACAAATAAAGCTGCTGTGAACATAGTTGAGAAAATGTCCTTGTTGTATACTTGAGCGTTTTTTGGATATATGCCCAGGAGTGATATAGCTGCATCTTGAGGTAGCACTATTCCTAATTGTCTGAGAAAGCGCCAGATTTATTTTCAAAGTGGTTGTATAAGTTAACATTAACACCAGCAATGGAGGAGGGTTCCCCTTTCTCCACATACTGTCCAGCACGTGTTGTCACTTGAGGTTTTGATCTCATTCAGAAAGGCAAACAGGATGGACATCGGAAGAGGGAGAAAACAGGGAACAGGACAGGAACCTACCCACAGAGGACCTCTGAAAGATGCTACCCAGCAGGGTATTAAAGCAGATGCTGAAACTCAGCCAAATTTTGGGCAGAGAGCAGGGAATGTTATGAAAGAAGGGGGAGATAGAAAGACCTGGAGAGGACAGGAGCTACACAAGGAGAGCAATAGAAAAAAAAATCTAGGCACAGGGGTCTTTTCTGAGACTGATACTCCAACCAAGGACCATTCATGGAGATAACCAAGAACCCCTGCACAGATGTAGCCCATGGCAGCTCAGTATGCAAGTGGGTAACCTTGTAAGGGGAACAAGGACTGTCTCTGACATGAACTCAGTGGATGGCTCTTTGATCACCTCCCACCAGAGTGGGGATCAGCCTTACCAGGCCACAGAGAAAGACAGTGCAGCCAGTCCTGATGAGACCTGATAGGCTTGGGTCAGATGGAAGGGGAGGAGAACCTCTCTTATCAGTGAACTTGGGGAGGGGCATGGGAGGAGAAGAGGAAGAGTGGAATTGGGAGGGGATGAGGAAAGGGGCTACAGCTGGGATACAAAATGAATACATTGTAATTAATAAAAAAGGAATTAATTAAAAAGTTTTTTTTTTTTTTCTTTTTTGGATTTTCAAGACAAGGTTTCTCTATGTAACAGTCTTGACTCTTCTGGAACTCTCTTTGTAGAACAGAATGTCCTTGAATTCACAGAGATCTGCCTGCCTCTTCTGAGTATTGGGGTTAATGACCTGCATCATCAACACGTGTTTTTTCTTTCATTATTTTAAGTAAATATGTTTGCCTGCATGTATGTCTGTGCCCTATGTACATGTCTATTACCCCTGGAAACCAGAAGAGGATATTGGATCCGCTGGGACTGAAGTTACAGACAGTTTTGAGCTACCATGTGGATGCTGGGAATGGAACAGGAGGAGGCAGCACTCTTAACCAGTGAGCTGGCGTTCCAGCACCTCTCCCCCCTCAGATTCTTGCCTCTATGAAATAGTTATGATAATCAAACTTTGTTTGCTAGGAATGCTCAGTGATATTTACACAGTGATTTCTGATTATGAAGGATGAGGGACAGATCATCTTTAGATACACTCTTGTTTATCATTACTTTAAATCTGACTTTATGGCAAACGTAGGCTCACTTTATGCTATTCCCTCACATCCCCCTTTGGTCTGTTTTGAACAGTCAGTCAGTTGACAATTAGTAAATAGCACAGACTTCATAAAGAATTTAAGATCTTCAGAAAATTGCTTTTAATTTAGTGTTGCTTGATCCTTTGCAAAGGTTCTGCTTACTGAACAAATTTTCTTCTATTTCAAATGTTCTCTATATCTGATCTTGGTTTCTAAATATATTTAAGTGCATAGCAACAGAGACTTTCCACTTGAACTCATAAGTCAGGGGAACCATTTTAACATATCTCAAGGCCAATATCCCTATTAAGTTATTGGTGTGCAGGGTAAGAAAACTGATTGGTGCATCTCATTCATGGTTCTTTCCAAATAGCTAAAGTGCCTTGCCCAAGTGATGTAGCCATTCACAGAAGTACTGGGTAAAGCCCCTTCTAGGTCACCTATGCCTTTTTCTTTCTGTTTGTTATCTTGTTTAGCCTGCTCTCCTAGGTTATTCACACCTTTTTCTGTCTGTTAGTCTTATTTCTATGAAACAGACTATCCCAGTGCCTACTGTGTCTTGTGTCAGCAGTTTGGGATTTACCTACCAGTAAGCAAAAGAATGATTTCTGCCTTCTTAGAGCTTATATTCTGGTGAAGACAGCCTGATGATAACCTATATGTACACTAGGTAAATTATTTAGTATGTTGGGTGATAAGCACTTTTAGCAAATTTGGAAGAGAGTCAGCGTGGCCAAAGATTTAAATGAGTTAGTTTGGCAATATTCTAGGCAGAGGAAACAGGAGCGGTTCCTAACTTACTGAAATAGCAGGGCGACTGTTACGGCTGCAATAAAGTAGATGAAACATGCAGGTGAAGGTTGGAGGTGGGCAGAGGAAGATAAAGGCAGATGTGGCCTATTAATTTACTTAACCCATTTGATGTGAGGGGTGTATGTGTTCATCTAATTTTAGCAACTCCTGAGTTTGAGGAAGAGAAAAAAATTAACTTAATTTGCATGCCTTTTCTTTTGGTTCCAGTTAAAGCATATCCTTAAAGGGACAGTAAGTATTCAGAAACATGGATTTCTGGGTCATATTACAGTGTTAATCCTTATACTCTTTTTTTTTTTTTTTTAATATTTAAAACAGGAGTATGTTGCTGTTGCTCTGCTTTGCGTCCTCGCTACAAACGTCTGGTGGACAACATATTCCCAGAAGATCCAAAAGTAATTTGATCTACATCTACTGATCCTTCTCTTTGCTGACCCATTCTGCCCCCTGCTGACCTCCCTAAGGTTTCCCTCATTTCATTTCTCTTTTATCCCCACATCTCATTATTTGAACTATTAAGCTTTTCTTTTTAATTTTTATATTTCCCTTGCTTGCTTACCTTTTTCAGATGTTAGGTACAAATCTGAAATGATAGGTGCATGGTTTCCTTTTTCGTTTTGTGCTAAAATATAACAGTGAAGATAAGCCCCCTGAGCTAAAAGATACTCCATAAATGGAAGTATCCCAGCCCATCTCTGGAGAGCTAGTGGAGGGCATGTTGGAGAAGGTATGAAAAGTTTAGAGGAAGCTGAGAGCTAGAGGAAAGCCCCTCTACTATTAGGAGATAAGCTGAGTGAGAGAAGTCATGCACACCAGCTGAGTTGCAGTCTGGCTGCAGAGTAGCAGGTTCTAGTTAAAGAGAGAAAGTTGTATAACTTCACTGAAGGGAGAGCCAGAGGCTGTCCAGTGGGCAGATAAGGATGAGAACACGGACTTACAAAATTATTAATTTTATCATTATCCAACATAACTGCCTATCTGACTTAGACTATGCCTAGCCAAGAAATTGAGGGTGATGGCTTACTCACTAGCATTAAGATAAGCATTATTAGGCCATTTATGGTTGTGCCCACCGTTAACCACAGTACTTGGAAGCAGAGGCAGGCAAATCTCAGTGAGTTCATGGTCAGCCTGGTCTAGGTAGTGAATACCAGAACAGCCAGGGCTATGTAAAGAGACCTTATCTCAACCCTCCCCTACCAGTGGACATGGGGAGGGACATGCATGGAGAAAGGGGAGGGGTTGGGAGGGGAGGAGGGAGGGAACTAAAGGGGGTATACAAAGTAAATAAAGTATAATTAAAAATAAAATAAAAATTAAAAAAAGAGACCTTGTCTCAAAAAAAAATAAGCAAAAAAAAAAAAAATCATTGGAATCATCTTTAGAAGATAGTAAGAGATGATGTCCATATCAGGGATGTACTGATACTAACTTAACACAGTTTTGAATGTTTTAATTGATTAATCACAGCATATTTTTATGATACTAGCTACTTCTGAATCATTTAAAAAGCTATAGATAGGGACTGGGATTTAGTTTCTTGGTAGACCTCTTACTTGGCAAGCTTTGGGTTCAGTCCTCTGCTCTGGAGAGTGAGAGAAAGCTTTATGTATGTCCCTGTTGTGTACAAGCTATATATAATATTTAAAACATTTAAATTGAAACAATTTTTGTTTTTAAGTAAAACATTTCATTGCCTACATACTTCTGGCTACGAAAGTTCTAGGGAAGTAATAACAGTAGTTTATGAAGGTCCTTTAAGTACTTTGCTTTAGTGGGCTATTTCTTTAGCTTTTTAAAAGTCATGAACATGTAGACTTTTTAATATTAGCACCAGCGAGTTTATACCCAGAAAGTTTTATCACAAATATGTATTAATTTACAGTTCTTGAAGATGAGATGTAAATCAGGTAACACTTTATATGAATAAATGAATAAGTTAGAAATATAGATAATGTACTTGTTATTAATTTCAGGATGGCCTTGTTAAAGCTGATATGGAGAAACTGACATTTTATGCAGTGTCTGCGCCTGAGAAGCTTGATCGAATAGGTGCCTATCTGGCAGAGAGGCTGAGCAGGGATGTTGTCAGACATCGCTCTGGGTAAGAACGTGAATTACTGCTAATAATCTTTTATCTTAGGAAAACCTTTATAGGCACAGTCATCTTGTAAATTTTTTGTGCCAGGTAGTCAGGCAAAAACAATACACAGAAGATAAAACTTTGTAACAACATGCTAAGAAAAGTATGAGACCCATATAACTGCTGCAGCTGCGTTTTACTGTGGCTCAGATTTTATGCAGAAATTCATGTTATAAACCATTGCCTCTAGCTTTAGCATCTGCTAGTTTTGTACTTATAATGGAAAATAGTTCTAAAGGTGTGATACTGTGTTTAAAAATTGATGTCTAAATTGAAAACAAAGCAAGATCCAGTTACCCGATGGATTTTTGACATAGTCGAGTGAAAATGAGGCATGTCAGGCTTATATCTTGAAGTGCAGATGGTATAAGTAGCCTGATTTGGGACTGCCCTGCTTGTTCCAGTGTCTGCTGATAAGGGAATTCCCTTGTAACCGTTCTTTGCATGAACAGCAACAGCTTTGCAGTTTGCACTGAAAGTACTTTCTGTTGTATCAGCCTAGTTTCTTAGAGTACTCTGTTTTTCAAGTGACATTACGGCTTGTTGTACCTCTGTTCTGTCACCTCTTAGAACATTTCATAGTTTTGTACAGGCAGTTTGAAAGTTGATCTCTGAAAGTTAACTAAAATGGAATTGAAATTTTATTTTATAAAACCTTTAACACCTGTTGACTTATAAAGTAAATTTTATTGACATATTCTCTTATATTGCTCTGTTTTTCTGGCACTATTTTATTTTTAAATATAAGTAAATATATTTTTATTCACAATAAATATATATATATACTTACATATAAGTATATACATATAAATAAGTAATTTTTTAAAGATTTATTTATTTACTATATGTACAATGTTCTGTCTGCATGTACACCTGCACACCAGAAGAGGGCACCAGATCTCATTATAGATGGTTGTGAACCACCATGTGGTTGCTGGGAATTGAACTCAGGACCTTTGGAAGAGCAGACAGTGCTCTTAACCTCTGAGCCATCTCTCCAGCCCAATAAGTAATATTTTTATTTACAAATATAAGTGATCATTTTGGAGAAAGAGATAATTTGTAGTACTATTCAGAACATATTCAAATAAATATGGTTAAAAGCATGGAAAATGTCTACAGTGTTCAAGGCAGATACACAAAAGTAACATCACAGTAGCTCTGAGGTTTCCTGGAGAAAATAGAATAGTACAGTCTAGCTTTGGTGTACTTCATCAGAGTGTATATCACTTTTTAAATCAGCAGGTTTTAAAGATTTTATAAAGTAAATACAGATTTTATTTTAGTTGACTTTCAATGATCAACTTTCAAACTACCTGTACAAACCCATGAAATGTCCTAAGTGAAAGAGCAGAAGCACAACAAGCCAAAGTGTTACTTGGACTTTTATGTCTAAAACTGGATTTTACTTAGTTTACTTTGCTTTTCTTAACTTTGTGCATCTAAGTAAACCCAATTATTCCAATGAAAAGCACTTAGGAGAATTAAGAGTGCTGGAAATGCTTTGACATTGTTTTTTTTTTTTTTTTTTTTCCTTTAATTTAGGTATGTGCTAATTGCTATGGAGGCTTTGGACCAGCTTCTTATGGCCTGTCATTCTCAAAGCATCAAGCCGTTTGTAGAAAGCTTCCTTCATATGGTAGCAAAGCTCCTAGAATCAGGGGAACCAAAGCTTCAAGTACTTGGAACAAATTCTGTAAGTGAAGTTATTATTTTCCTACTAAGATAATCAGCACTGCTAGAGTTAACCTCCTCTTAGAATGACTCTGATAGAAATCAGGGCATTTGTACACCCAGTACACATGACAGTGACTAACACACCTGTCTTCAGTGTGTTGCTCTTTATAGAGCCTGTGATATTACTCCACCAACATGGAAGCCTTGCCTCTACACGCGTCTATTCTTGTCAGTTTTATTTTTTCTGAATTGCTCATTACAGTGTTAACCTTGCATGCTACTGTTTTACTTTAGAGCTTTGTTGAGATACATGGACATCACAAACACTTACACTGTTGTATGACTCAACTGTTCCACTGCTTAGCATGTATCACCTGAGTGAAAACCTGTGTCTTCAGACAGGTTTACAAGTGCATAGACTTGTAAACCAGTGTTCACAATAGTCAAAAAAGTGAAGATTCATTGTGCTTTTGGTTTTTTGTTTTCCTTAAAGCTTCTTGGTATTACAGGTTTTCTGCCTATCTCTGAATATATGTCTATCTAATTTCTTATTTTTAAAATTAGATTTCTCTTAAAATTCTTCATCTATTCTTGATACAAGTCCTTTTCAGATATATGACTTACAGTATTTTTTCTAATTATATGGTTTGCTTTATACTTTATTGATGGGTTGCTTTGATGAAGTCTCATTCATTTTTTTGGTCACTTTTTAATGTGCTTTTAATAGTCTTTATAAGAAATACTTCCTAACCCAGACTTTTATAATTCAGTTCTGTTATCTACTTTGAGCTATGTTGCATATGGTTACATATGACTTAGAGGTTCAGTTTTGTCTATATTCATATATTCATTCATATACTCCATTATTACTTGCTGAATATACTATTTTTCTGGTATCCTGCTGTGAAACCAGAGTTTTTGTTTCTCTCCTCACCCCACTTCTGAATTGTTTCTTCTGACTGTATTCATTTCCTTCTGTCTTGAGCATAGTTTTAAAATAAAAGATGGAAAATAGCGTGCTGTGATAATAAAATAAAATAGTTACATTTTTATCTTTTATTCTGCTTTTGTTCTATATTTTCAGTCTTTCTGAGGAAGCTTTAAGTTATTCAGCCTACATGAATATTTTGTATTCCTACCCGTAGTTTACTAAAAACTACTAGAATCATGTGACTTGTTTAGACATTGTCTTAATTACTGTTCTATTGATGTGAAGAGACATCATGGCTAAGGCCTCTTATAGAAGAAAGCATTTAATTGGGTGCTTGCTTACAATTTTAGAGGGTTAGTCCATTATCGTCATGGTAGGAAGCAAACAGTCACGACCAGGGAGCAATACCTGAGAGCTTTCATCTAGATCCACAGACAGAATGAGAGACACTGACTGACCTAGGGTTTTGAAACCTCAAAGCTTCCCCAAGTTACACCTCCTCCAACAAGACCATGCCCCTACAACAAAACCACAACACCTAATCCTTTCCAAACAATTCTACTACCTGGGGACTAAGCATTTAAACACAAGAGCCTTTCGGGCCATTCTCATTCAGATTACCATAGGTGAAATTTCAGATACAGGAAGAATAATGTAGGTTATGACTCCCACTGTGGATCTCATTCTCTGTTGCATGTATACCTATAGCCTGTAGTTTAGGCAAGTTAGCTAATCTTTGTTTCAGTTTCTCATCTGTGAAATGAAAACAATAGTTTCAGCCTGATGAGATCTATGTGTGTGGGAAACTCCTAGAGCAGGATATAACATTATTAGTTTTGATCATAGTAGACTGTTACAAAATCTCGGTTGTGTAATCGTATAATTCATTTAAAACCCCTATCATGATTTTGCCCTTTTATCTCAGGGACAAATAGTGGATATTCCCAGATGCGGTTAGGTGATATAATGGGCTTACTTTCAGGCATGATAGCTTCTGAAGGCTTCTCCTATTTCCTCTACAATTAGATGAGGAAGTTTAGGGAAGATGGCTTAATAGCTAACGGTAGTTTGGAGGGGGTAAATGTGCATTCCCAGAAGTTTCTTTGCTTGTAGCCAGCAAACCCATTAGTATTACGTTAGTGACACGTTTAGGCAAAAGACAAAAATCCTCATACCCTACCTTTAGTGAATGTATTAAATCAAATGCTCTATTATCTTGGTCAGTTTTTCAAATCTATTTGCTGAGAGTCTAATTTTACTTTTGTAGTGGTATTGAGTACCTTATATCATCAAAGAATTTGTGCATTTTATTTTACTTGTGACATTTACCTTTTTATGCTCTAGGTCCAGTAAGACAATAATAGCCAAAATTTATTTAGGTTCTCTTTTGTTTCAGAAATTTTGCTAGGGGGAACAACATCAACAAAAAAGACATGAAGTTGGAAGTGGGTGTAAGGGAGTAGGAGTGAATTTGAGAGGAATGGATGGTGAATATGATTAAAATACATCTAATTCATACATAAAATTTTTTAAAGAATTAATAACATATTGAACGCTTTAAAAAGATATTATACCAGAAACTTCTTATTCCTTTTTGTTGTAAATAACTTCAAAAATAAAAAGTATAAAAGATAATACATAATACCCACTGATTCAAAAATGTTTAAAATATTCATAAAGTCCTTATAGATGCACTTTAATCATTTCTAATCTGAAATCAGAATTGCTCCAAAACCCATAACTCTTTGAGCTCTGTAATAGGATAGTCATATTAAAGATCCTTCATGGCAAAGTTGGACAGATATCCCATGCATTCTATGTAAATGTTCTAAGGTCTGAAATACTTTGGATTCCAAAGCTGAATAAGGGGTATGTGTCATATAATAACTTTGTGAGCAGGCCTGGAGAGATGGGCACTGCACAAGCATGAGGACTGAAGTTCGAATCCCCAGGGTCCAAATAACAAGCCTGGTAAGGTCGGTCTCGTGTGCCTGTGATCCCAGCACTGTATTGAACTATGACGGGAGGTTTTCCCTGTGTCTTTTTGGCCCCCATCCTTGCTCCAGATTCAATCAAAGATCCTGTCTGCAGAGAATAAAGCAGAGTGTGACGGAACACCACACAGATATCCTCCTTTGGTCTCTATGTACACACATGGACACATGTACATACACTTACATACATAAACAGAAAAAACTAAAACATAGCTTATTTAAAATAATAGTACTGTTATAGTTATGAAGTGAACACTGTGCAAGTTTGGTTCAACTTTATTTTATTTATGCTTTTAGAGAAACAACATGGTGCATACTAGGCTTTTCAAATATATTACATAATTTAGTTCAAAATTGAAATTAATATTTCTGTTTTATATGTTTAGAACCACAGTTAAATAATTTGTCAGTAGACAAAAAGAATGTTCTGCCTCTGAGGAGATTCAGTCCCAGGCCTTACTCTAGAGCTTGTTTTTATATAGTTTGTAATAGGACCACATCACTTGTGTGTACTACGACTCAGGGAAAGTGGAGATTGCTTTCATGTTTTTACTTGGTTGACCCTTTCCACTATTTCAAGCCTCATCCTTCATCTTAATAATTTTATTTAAATATTGTTAAAGGATATCCAGAGGGAACAGTCAGTAAAATTAGTCATTACAGTAAAGCATCAGCCCTCATCCAGGGCACACCTCCCTGTCTGTCCTCCCATGTCTGGCAAGTGTCTGAAGACATTTTGGGTTGTACAGTGGAGACTGAAATGTAGGTGTAATCCTGTAGGTGGGAGTACTGCTCAATATCCTGCAGTCGCTGGAGAAGGTCCTACAGCAAAAGCTTTATCCAGCCCCTGATTAGTGTTTAGCATGAGAAACACTGCATCTAAAGGATTGTATGCTACTACCATCATTGTGCCTTTTGAAGCACATCTATTTTCTATTTTAAATTTTATATTTTTATGTTTTAGGTTTTTTTTTTGGCATGAGTATGTATGTGTGAAAGCATACTCAGGTGGAGGACAGAGCTTAGTATATGTGCCTTTTTCTATTGTCCTCCATCCCACTTAAGAAACTAAAACAAAAGAACTTCTGGTTTGTAGAATTAGAATTTCTATGAACTGGGAGGGCCCCTCTGGTGTGACTTCACATTTTATATTCTTTATATATTAGGGCACGTAGAAGCTACCTGCCATAAAGTTACTTAGATTATCTGTATATTTATGACTTTCAATAAATAACAAACGAATGAAGATTTGTATTTAAAGAGTTCTACCTCACATTTACAGTAGGTCTTAGTGTCCATTTATGTTTTGTTTCTAGCTCTTCTATTTCAAAAGTGATATGTTTAGGATAGCAAATTTGAAAAATATGAAAAAAAAAAAAAGTAAACGTCTTTGAGAAAATCAGCCGGGTTGCAAGGTTTTGTTTATTTAGAAAGCTGTATCATTGGTTTTCTAAAAGTTCATTATTATAAATTCCTTTTGTTCGTATTCAGTATTTGGTGTTCCTTGTGTTCCATTTGCTTATTTGGTTGTTGCTTGTTAGTGTAATAGATAAGGAAGGTAAATGTGTTTACTCACTTTGAAAAGGTGACATATTTTGTTTGTATTGTTATTTTTGTTTTTTAGTTTGTCAAATTTGCAAATATTGAAGAAGATACACCGTCCTATCATAGACGTTATGACTTCTTTGTATCTCGATTCAGTGCAATGTGTCATTCCTGTCATAGTGATCCAGAAATACGAACTGAGTATGTACTGTTTTACTTCATGACTTACATAATTTATAGAAGAATTTGCTGAATATTGTGCTTCTGTACTTCATAATGATTATCAAAAGGCATGAAAGATGCTCCTGAAACCGTTTTCCATTTATGTTAGAACATACAGCATTCAACTGAATTTGCAGGATGGCAGTGGTTAAAATTCAGAATCCTTACCCTTGCCCAGGATGACCCATTTGACATACCCCGCCTGTTTTAGTTTCTGTCATCCTGGCTTTTTCTCCTACTTTCTAGTTCAGTCACATGGATCTTCTTCCTGTCTCCTGAACACGCTGGGCATGCTCTTAAGTACATGTGAAAAGATACATTCTCAACCTAGAGAAATTCCTAAAGACTCCAGACTCATCTCAGTGTATGCAGGTTTTTCCTCACTTTACTCAAGGCTCTCCCTGGGTGGACTTAAATTATTAAACCTCAATCCTCCCATTCTACTTCGGATTCCTTATATTTTCATTTTTATTCTAAGTTTTCATTTTTTTCAATACAAGGTCTCTCTATGTTATCCTGGCCATTCTGGAACTTGCTGTGTAGACAGTTGGCCACAAACTCAGAGATCCTCTTGCCTCTTCGTCCTGAGTGTTGGGATTCAAGGTGTGCACCACCACACTGAAATTCACTCCCTTTTTTCTTTGTTATCTTATTAGAGGGCAGGCAGGAGGGCAAGGCCTCTGTTCTGTACACTGCTGTATTATTGAGCACTTTGACTAATGTTAAAAGACTTGGTTTAGTTAAAATCAAAATGATTCTGATAAAGGATACTAGTTTGGGCACCACTGGTAACCTAATTCAGAGAATTATTATGGGATGTTGGTAATGGAGAGTCAGTGCATTTACTCAGTGGTGGGCAGAGTGTGCAGAACCTTAAGCAGGAGTTTGCAGACCCCCCCAGCTGGTGCACATGTTGAAAGCAAGCATGTGAGTTATGGGTCCTTAGAGAAGGAAGGATGAGGAAAGGCTTAGCGATCATTTTCTCAGATGTGTCTTACCTGACTGTAATTTCTCCTCATTATAATCCAAACCATTTATCACTCTGTGATGCCTTAGATAGAAAGATACCATAACGATGTATACCTTTCTGGCCACCTTATCACTACTAAAATTTTATTTCCTAAGGGACATTTTAAAATGGTATTTTTAATCATATATTCATAAGATGTGTTTGAGAAATTCAAACATGAGATTACCTTATATTTAGCTATTTATTGCCCCCTAGTGGAAAAATCTGGTATTTTAGACATTCTTTCAATTTTTCTGTTTTTAATATCATTATAAAATGTTATTATTAATTTAAAAAATGTGTATATATGTACTGTATTTACATAATTTACCTAATCTCCTCCCTCCAAACTTTCTTATCCTCCCTCAAATTCATGGCCTCTTTTTTAAAATTATGATTGTTTTATATTTACTTATGTGTTTCTGTGTATATACATGTATATATATAAATACAACCTGCTGAGTCCATTTAATGTTGTTTACATGTATTTTTTCAGGGTTTTTTTTGGGGGGTGGCTGGCCTATTAGGGGACTCATTATTTCTCTCTCAACCATCAGTAATTGACAGTAGCTCCTTATTTAAAGGTAGAGTCTGTGTAATTTCCCTCGTTCACACTGGCATATTAACTGGTGTTGTCATTGTCAGGTCTTCTTTAGGCAGCTGTATTTTTGTAATTCCATGGGTCTAGTTTTCCTGTCTCATAGAAATGATACACCCTGGTTCCTCTGTCTCCTACCATCTTGTACCCCTCACTGTGACGGTCCTTGTGCCTTAGATGTTGAGGTTATGTCTTTATAAAACTTTTTTCCCTAATTTTGGATCTTCCGTATATATAGATTTCTGAGGTCCCAAATTTCCAAGTTTTCATTTGAGTCACTGTGAAACAAATGAGTAAATTAAAATGCTTGAACATGCAAGTTGTACTTTTTCTCTACTGTTCCTTCAGTAAAAATCTTTTTTAGTTTTCTTCAAGTTATTTATATTTCCTTTCAGGTCCCACCTGAATTCTTTTTTTTTTTTTTTTTTTAAATTCTTTTACATTTTAGTAAATCCCACTCAAATAGAACTTTAAGACTTTGGGAGGTAGGAGATGAGTCTAGAAACTATTATCCTCCCCCATCCCCAATGTTAATTTCTTTCTCAAAACCAAATAAAAACCTAATATAACACCCCTGCTAAAAAACCAAGGAAACAAAATAATGCAAAAAAAAAAAAAAAAAAAACCCTCCAAACTGTAACCAAATATAAGTGTGTGCTTGCACATATACACACACGCATGTGTGCACATGCACACACACACAGTATGGAGTTGGTCAAATACTCATGGATATGAAGCCTGTCCTGGAAGGGTTGATACATACCCAGTGTCACTCTATTGGAGAAAACTGATTTTCTCAGTTTTTTTCTAGCAGGTATAAGTAACAATTCAGTTGTTAATCTTACCTTTAGTGGTTAAGCTTTCATTAATCCCACCCATCTGTTCAATCATATTCTCCCTTTTAAAAATTATTTATTTATTTATTTATTTATTTACTTTGCCTACTGATTGTAGACCTCTCCCTCCTCTTTTCTCAGGCTCACTCACACTCCCTCTCCCCTCATTCCCTTCCGCTATTCCTCAGGTAAGGGGAGCTCCTCTTACCCACTCACCCCAGTATATCAAGTTGTATTAGGACTAAGTGCATTGTCTTCCACTATGGCCTACTGGAGGCATCCTTGCTAGGAGGAAGTGTTCAGAAAGCAGGCAACAGAGTCCATATCAGAGACAGACCCCACTCCCTTTACTAGGGAACCCATGTGAAATTTGAGCTGTGTATCTACTACATCTATGTAGAGGGCCTGCGTCAAATCTATGCATGGTCCTTGGTTGGTACATCAGTCTCTACAACCTTGTCTGGGCAATGGTTAGTTGGCTTTGTTGATCTTATGGAGCTCCTGCCACCTCCAGCTTCTTCCATCCTTCCTCCCCCCTTTTCACAATACTCCCAACGCTTTACCCAATGTTTGCTGTGAGTCTCAGCATCTATTTCAATCCTCTGGTGGGGGAGCCTCTCGGAGGACAGCTACACTAGGCTCCTGTCTGTGAGCATAGTAGAATATCTTTAAAAGTGTCTGGGGTTGTCTTATCTCCCGGCCGGTCTCAGATTGGGCCAGGCGTTTGTTGGACAGTCCCTCAGTCTGTGCTCTGTCTTTATCCCTGCACATCTTATAGGTAGGGTAAATTTTGGGTCAAAGTTTTTGTGGCTGGGTAGATGATTCCTTCCCTCTACTGGGAGTCCTATCTAATTAAAGTGTGTCTTCTTCGGTCTCAGTGACCCCTGCTACAAGGAGTCTCAGCTAGATTCACCCCCATATCCTCCCAGAAACTCACCCTGTTGGTCTCCTACTTGTCATAGAGAAGCTCCTGCCCACAGTTTTTCTTTTCTCTGTAGGCACTCTGTCCTCCAGGTGTTCCCCCTATCCCTACCACCACTCCCCACTCCCCTCAGGTCTGGTCTTCACCCTCATTTCTTGATGCTTAAATCTCACTAAAAAGGGAAATAGACAGCAGAAATGGCTGAAGAGAGGGAACAAGGTAGGAGGGAGAATACAGTCATTCATTTTTTAACAATATAACAAAATAAAACAAAACAAAAACTATCATATTGAAGTTGTACAAAACAAACCAGAAGGCACAGAATCAGAGACCCACTCATTTACATACTCAGGAATCCCATAAAAACACTAAACTGGAAGCTGTAATATTTAGGGTTGCTTCAGTCTATGAATTCATATGAACTTTGATTTAGAGAGACTTGTTTTCTTGGTATCCTCTATCCTCTATGACTCTTACTCTCTTTACACTTCCTCTGAGGATATCCCTGAGCTTCGAAGGGAGAGATTTGATGGAGACATCTCATTAAGGGCTGAGTATTCCAAGGAATTTTACTCTTTACATAATGTCTGACTGTTAGACTCTGTATTTGTCCCCATCTGCCAAATGAGAAAGTTTCTCTGATGATAGCTGAACTAGGCACTGATCTATGCGTATAGCAGAATATCATTATGGATCATTTTATCACCACATTTTTCTTTCTTTTTTTAGATCAGTATTATTTAGTTTTATCTTGGGTGCTTGAGATATCCAGTCTTAGGTTCTTGGTCAACCAAGCAGTGTTTGGTATGGGTTCCATCTCATGGAGTGGGCCTTAAGTCAAATTAGTTTACTAGTTGGTGGCTTTGTGCCAACATTGCCCTAGCATATCTTGCAGGTAGTACACCAAAGGGTTTGTGGCTATATTAAGACTTTCTTGAAGTATTTCTTCTCAGAAATAGCTGACACTTGTAAATTTATACATCATAGTCTAATTTCTCCAAGACTGTCCAGCTATAACGGAAGTCCTCATCATTCTAATGACTAACACACAACAATATCAGCTTTGGTTGATTGTTTACGGTGAGGCAGTTCTTGTTCAGATTTATCAATCAACTTTTCACAGCACTCCTGAGTTTACATGGTACAAATGTTCAAATTTACTCATGGGGAAAGTTAATTGTTTTCGGGGCCAAAACTAGAATGCACTCTTCAGGGTAGGTGTTAGAGCTGGATTGGATGCTAGCTGTGTATCTGAGGTGGCTCTTGATGATCACCAGTATGCCACCAATGCTTACAACAGGTCACCACCATTTGCTGCTCCACTTAGGCTACTGTCTTTTATATAAACTTGTGCTTGTCTTTCTCCCCAGGAAATAGTACCAGGTATATATATAACAGACACCCTTTGTAGTGGGGTTAAGTTTGCCCTCTTGTGGTCAGTATTTTATAAGGAAACCTATATAGACAGAGCTTTGAAATAGTTAGAATTTGTCTTAAGACGTCCTGTTCAGTGTCTTGTTCCTGTCACTCCCTATTCTTCCTATCTGTTGCTCTTGAATATCCTCATGGGTTTGTAAAGTACTATCACTCCCTTCTCAACATTTTCCATTCTGTAAACATATTTATGCTCTCTAGAAGACAGTGTTAGGTGAGCTGAAGAGAACTACTGATCATATCAGATGGTCTACAGCAAGGAAGCAATTGAGAGTAGGACAGAAGGAGGTAATTTTAGGAAAAGAAATACCTTGTAAGACAAATGGGCTGCTAGGCTAACCCTGCTTGAAACTTTGTCCTGCAATTTGTGCAACTGTAGTCACTTCTCTTTCTTGAACCTACAGTTTTCTTTTTTCCCAAGGAGAATGAAGAAGACCGTGAGGAAATTGGGGCTTATGAGTTGTGATAGGAGGTGAGGGCAGCAATGATAAACTTCAGGTCCTGTGTAAATGTATATAGACACAGCTTTTAAATGAAACAGCTTTCTTTCTGAGAGGTGAACAGTTCTTGGGGAACAGTTGTCAGAGTCTGCAGAAGCACAGTGTTCACCAGGATCAGTGGACTTCTCACTTGGCTCTAAGACTTCACAGCAGCTTATTAGCATCATGTCAGAAAAAACAATACTTTTGATTACTTTTTTATTAACAAATAATATAGGTACTAGATATTTCTGTAGTTTACAGCCTTTAAATTTTACTAATTTATAAAAAATGATGGATAAAGTCTTTTTTGAATATATGTGTCCCTCTTAATTTTTTGAGATTTTAATTTCTTACATGTTTTGTATGTAATTTTAAAACATTTTATGGTTGAGAAATGTGTATCAACATACAGTCTTTTTAGGTTTATTTAACTTGTTTAAATAACCTGTTTTCATGGGTCTTTTCCCCCGATCCTTATAGGATTCGTATTGCTGGAATAAGAGGTATTCAAGGTGTGGTTCGCAAAACAGTTAATGATGAACTTCGGGCTACTATTTGGGAACCACAGCATATGGATAAGATTGTTCCATCCCTTCTGTTTAACATGCAGAAGATTGAAGAAGTTGACAGGTATTGTAAAAAGTTGGGGCTGGAGACATGTTTCAGCATTTAAGACGCCATACTATTCTTGTAAAGGGCCTGAGTTCTGTACTAAACACCCACTTTGGGCAGCTTACAGTTGCCTCTAACTACAGCTCCAGGGGGATCCATTACCCTTCATAAGTACCTGCAGTCATGTTCACATGCACATTCATGCACACAGACATTTATACAAAATTAAAAGTAAAAATCTCTTTTCAAAAAGATACTAAAACCTTTGTTACATTGTATATGTGTTCATGTGCTTGCTAGGATGAGAATATTTGGTTTCTAGCATTATAATGTATTTTATAAAGTTAAGTGAGTTTAAATATATGTACCATCCTAGAATTTATTAATCTGTAATGATTATATTAGGGTTGTTAGTCATAGGTTTTATTTAATATTTTAACGATTTATGTATGAGTATTATTGGAGATTAGTCTGATGCCTACTACTGACCCTCAAGATCTAATTATACCTATCCTTGTTTTGTAAACCTGCCTAAAAAAACTTGCCTGATTGGTTGATTAAATGGCCTATACCTGGTCAGGGCAGATGGGGTAGACTTGGCTAAGGTCCCCAGGCTTTTGGGTTCAAGAGAGAATCACAGGAATCAGATGGAAGTGAAGAGAGGAGGAAGGAGGATGCCAGGATGGGTTAGGTGGAGAAGGAACCACGTGAGCAAGGAGAAAAGACTTCAATAATGGCGTGAAAAGGTCCAGTTGAAGAATATAAGCAAGTACCATGGTACTGTGTATGGAAAGTAGACCAGATGAGGAGGACTAAGGTGGATGGTATTGGATGGGGCCTGGGAGATGGATGGTGAGGTTAGTGAGCCAGTGTAAGTGAAATATCTGCCCAGCCCAAGGTAAATAAGGCAATTATAAATCTTACAGCTGTCTGTGTCTTATTATTTGTATTAGCAGGTTAAATAATATCATTGTAATAATCCTAGGGCTAATAATAAACTTTATATAGCTTAACACTTTTTTAATTTACTAAGACAGAGTGTTCTGTCTGCATGTACATCTGCATGCCAGAAGAGGGCATCTGATCATACTATAGATGGTTGTGAGCCACCATGTGGTTACCAGAAATTGAACTCAGAAAAGAGCAGACAATGCTCTTAACCGCTGAGCTATCTCTTCAGCCCAACAAATTTAGAGTTGTAAAAGGCGAAAGATTTATGTGATCTGAAGAGAAACCAGAGTATATGACCAATCCTCACTTAGAAAGACAAATGGGATGGACATTGGATGTAGGAGAAAACAAGTAACAGGACAGGAGCCTACAGCACAGGGCCTCTGAAAGATTCTGCCTAGCAGTGTATCAAAGCAGATATTAAGACTCATAACGAAACCTTTGACAGAGTGCAGGGAATCATATGAAAGAAGGGGGAGTTAGTAAGACCTGGAGAGTACAGGAGTGCCACAAGTACCAAATATATCAGGGCACAGGGGTCTTTTATGAGACTGTTTCTCCAACCAAGGACCATGTATGATAACCTAGAACCCCTGCTCAGATATAGCCCATGGTAGCTCAGTGTCCAAAATGTGTTCTCTAATAAGGGGAACAGGGACTATTCCTGACATGAACTCAACGGTGAGCTCTTTGACCACCCCCACCCCTCCCAAGAGAGGAGCAGCCTTGCTAGGCCACAGAAGACATTGCAGCCAGGCCTGAAGAGACTTGATAAGCTAGGGTCAGATGGAAGGGGAGGATGTCCTCCCCTATTAGGACTTGGAAAGGGGCAGGGAGAAGATGAGGGAGGGGGCTATGGCTGGGATACAAAGTAAATAACCTGTGATTAATATAATAAATAAGTAAGTAAGTAAGTAAGTAAGTAAGTAAATAAAAATTTAGAGTTGGAACCACGAAAAACAGAAATTATAGCTGAACTTCTGTTCCTCCTTAGAGATTCATTATGCTTTCTCATACAGACTTAAAACTAATAAAAATTAAATAATAATAAATAATAATAGTATAGTAATAATATTCAGTGCATTTTCTTTTATTGAAAATAAAAAATTATACAATATATTCTGATTACAATTTATTGTCCTTATCTCCTTCCCAGTTGTATGACTCCATGCTTTCTTTCTCTTCCTCTCTTCAGAAAGATAAATATAAAGCAAATAGAAAAAAGCAAACCAAAAGAAAACAAAGAAAAAGCATTAGAAACACATGCACACACAGAGACACAAACACAACATCAGAAACCATAATATATAAGCAAAGACCAATAAGGTAAAGCACTACCCAAACAAAACATTATGAGAAAAAAACAAAACAATAACAACCAAAAAAACTCCATTTGCCACTGAGTTTATTTTGTCTTGGCCATCAGGCCTGCCCTTAAGTGTGGTTTTTATACCCAGTGAGACTCCATTGGAATAAAGTAATTTTTTTCTTTGTGAGCAGAAGACACTTAGGAGATAGCTTCTGGGTTAGGAATGGGAGCTTGTGTTTACTACAAGGCTCAGCTCCCTAAACCCTCAGGGAGGGTTTTGATATTCAGCCCATTTAGGATGAAGTGTCCCAAAGTCTCTCACTCTAGGCGCATTGTGCAGTTTTGGGTCTCTGTATTTGACACCGTCTACTTCAGGAGGGAGTTTCTCTTTCAATGCCAGAGAAAAACAGTGATATTTTATTTTCTTCAACTAACAGCCAGCACGGTTGTTTTCTGATTAATATCTCTAAGATATTTGGAATGAAATAGTGGCGTTGGGTATATGCTGGTTTTCTTGACGTCAGGTGCACTTGGCGTCCTGAATGTTATCCAGCTTTCTTTTAAATGCTAGAAGCGTGCATATTCCTCCACATTTTGATAACCTATGCAGGAAAAATGGGTACTCAGCAGCTAAAGCAGAATTATCCAGTTTGCTTTACCTTGGTTCTTACCCCTGGAAAAGGAAGAGATTGGAATAGATTTTAAAAGAGTTTTATCTTATACTCAAAATTAATAAAATTTGCTTATAGCTCTCAGGATTCTATGCACAGCATCAAAATTGATTTGGAAATGAGGTTCAGTTGATAAATCCGTGCTAACACAGATGGAATAATATGTATTCCAGTTAATGCCAACCGCAGGAAGGATTGATGCAGAAGTCCCGGATATAACTATCTCCAGCTTTGTGATTCTATCTAAAAATGTGACATGATATACTTTAGAACCTTCTGTATTTTTCCTATCTTTAGTGCTATAGCTAAGTCTTAAGATTTTCCTATCTGAAATATTTACTATATAAACATCTCTAGCTAGTTGGGATCCTATCTTCCAATGAAATCTGATGTAATCCTGAATAAGCTAGAGGAAATAAGTTGAAACCTACCCACTTGCAAATGAAAATTTTGATTCTTCCAAGAGAGTCTTACTGGGAACACACACCACTCTTAAGAGCAGCCCCCATGGCCAGGAATAAAGAGCCAAAGTGAGCTCAGTGACATCTTTGGAGCTTCCTTGTTTCATAATGTTGTATCAGGGTTTTTCCTGTTTTTTTTTTTTTAATTTATTTTTTTATATTTTATTTTTTTCTTATCAGTTACATTTTATTAACTCTGTACCCCAGCCATGTCCTGATCCCTCATTCCCTCCCAGTCCCTCCCTCCCTCCCTCCTCTCCACCGTGCCCCTTGCCAAGTCCACTGATAGGGGGGACCTCCTCCCCATTCATCTGATCCTGTTTTATCAGGTATCTTCAGGACTGGCTGCAAAGCTCTCCCCTGTGGCCTAACAGGACTGCTCCTCCCTTGGGGGATGGAGCTTCCTTGTTTCATAATGTTGTATCAGGGTTTTTCCTGTTTTAAAAATTTTGTGTGTGTATGTATATATGTAAATATATATACATATATATATACAAATATACATATATATATATACACATTCTCTTGTTTTACTCTGCAGGTCTTTTGCATAGGTATTATGGCTTCAGTTAGTGTTCTTACTGGATTTCTGAGTATGCAGATGAGTGTATCTCTGTGTCTTGTACTTTTTCCTTCTGTTTCTTTTATCCAATTCCAGTGTGCTAGTTTTTGCTTTATGTTAGTATATGTTATTTTTTTACTGTAGAAGCCTGATTGCTTTCTAATGAGAAACAGAAAGTGGGTGGATCCTGATGGGAGGGGAAGAAGGGTGGATCGAGAAAGAGTACAGGAAGAGGAACCTGTAATCAGGGTATATTATATGAAAAAAAGAAACTTTTCAATAAAAGGAAAATAAAGATATATAAAACAGAGACTATGCATGTCAGATCATAAATTCTATCTGGTGTAATCCAGTGCCATAGATGTATTATTATTTATTGTGGTTGCAGTAAGTATGTTGCAAAAAAGCATTAAAAAAATTCTGAATATGTGGACACAACAAATACTTTCTTCAAAAAATGTCTCTGTGCAGCTGTTCTCATTGTTTTATTTATTTTTTAATACTCGGGTTATATCTGATTTTTCAGTTCTTTTCATTCATTCCCAGTTATAATTGCATAGGGGGTAGCTAAATATGTTTTTCTCTGGATCTGTGCTCACTAAAGTCTATACTGGTATGAATGTTGAGAGAGTCTATAAAAGTGAGCAAGTAGTGGAGCTTTTGAATTTTTTGTTGCTTCGTTTTTTGAGACAGGGTATCATTTAATATGTAGCTCTGGCTGCCCTGGCATTCCTTATGTAGACCAAGCTGGCTTTGAACTCAGATTCTCCTGCTTCTGTGTGAGTACTACTCCACCTAGCCTCTGAGTGTTTTACTGGCGTAAGGAATGTTATGCTGGAAACAAGTTAGCAACTATGTGAAGTATTATATGCTTGGCTCTAGTGACGTTAATTTCATGAATATTAGAATTAAATTTTAATGTTATTTGGGAACAAAACAAAAAGTGTCTTTAACATTTCTGAGAAGCTAAATATATTCTGTTTACCCTTTAGAACTAAAATTAGAATGTTTTATTGGCCTTTTTAATTTCTTTTTCAGCCGCCTAGGCCCGCCTTCTTCCCCCTCTGCAGCTGACAAAGAAGAGAACCCTGCGGTGCTAGCTGAAAGCTGTTTCAGAGAACTGCTAGGCAGAGCAACTTTTGGGAATATGAATAATGCTGTTAGGCCTGTTTTTGCGTGAGTACATGCTATCTTTCTAGGTATCTAGGTAGCTTTGCTCTGTGTTAGTTGTATAATTTTCTTATGGAGGACAAATATTTTCTTAATTAAATTTTTTGAGTCACCATACAAAATAAAGGCTTCCACTACTTTCTTAATTGTACAGGTAACATTATGAAGGTGGCATTGGGCATTATATGTTTGTTTTTTTCTGTATGAAGTGTAATGTTAAACTTAATACCGTGTACATCACTTACCATGCATATCTCCTTACATACCATGAAATGCTTATGTGCAATGAGAAATTAGTGTCAACATGTGATACACATTGCTTCTCTCTCCTTTTTTCTTTTTTTCCCAGTTCTGGGAATTGAACTTACCACCCTCCCATGGAGCTTGTATCCTGGCCCCCCAACTTTATTTTTGCCATGGCTGGGAACTTGAGATTTTGCTTACTTTTTTGAATAAATCTCATGTTTTACTCAGCGTCTAATTAAGATAAGAATATTGAAGACCCCACTGGTCCTTACATGCTGTCTTCTAGGCTCTTATGAGCAGTTAAGTTTTTCTGCATAATTAATATCACGCAGACAAGGTTTTCAAGTATTGTGCTTCTAATTCTATCATGATAGTTCAGTCTACGCTAATATTCTGATCTTTTTTTTTTCCTTTTTGTTAAAATTCACTACCATCTCCTCTTTATGCTCTGACTGTAGTGGACTTAGTATATACAGAGTATTTTGCGTGTAACATTCAGAATTGTTTATTTGGGGCAGGTGTTTTTACTGCAGGTTTAAAGTTAACCTTTAAAAACTAAATTAAAAATCAATAGTATCATCGGCTTCAGAACAGCTTGTGGGTGGTTCTTCATTTTTATCATAGTAGCCTAATGGAAATCCTACTAAAAAGTAACCAACTTGTGTTACAGTAAGGCAAATTATTTTTATATTCTGTCCAAATATTTATGCTTAATAATAGAATTCTAGTTACCTAGCTTTAAGGCAGACTTTACCACATCAACCATACTTGAGGTGAACAATTTAAAGGAGGTTTTTTTTTCTTCCCCTCATCTTTTTCAATTAAGAAATATTTTTGTACAATATATTTTGATCATGTTTTACAGATCCCAAAACTCTTAAGATCCACCCTATCTTCCTGTCCATCCAACTTTATGTTCCTTCTCTTTCTTACAAAACAAGCAAACAAAGAAAGGAAGAAACCAAAAACTCCCACGAAAATCAAAACAAGCAAAAGATGAATGAGACAAAAAAAGAAAAAGAGCAAAATGAAACTAAAAGTCTACAAAAATACTCATACTTGTTTTGTGCTTGTCAGTTACTCCTGTGCATGGGTTCTGTCCTAGAATGTGGTTTGATATACCCAGTGAGACTCTATTGAAGAAAACTGCAAAGTGCTTCTTGGTTAATTATGGAACCCTGGGTCCCCATCTCCCTTTCATTGCTGAATCCTCATATGGCTTGAACCTTTACAGGTCCTGAACATGTTTCTGCCACAGTCTCTTTGAGTTCATATGTGCGTCATTCCTCTTGTATCTGGAAAACTTGGTTTCCTTGTGTCTAGAAGACAATTCTTTTTCAGTCATCCATCATTCTGTCTCTTAAAAGTCTTTCTGCCTCTTATTCTGCACAGAGCCCTGAGCCTTAAGGGTAGTTTGTTGACTACATCCCATTTGGGACTGAGTATTCTATAAAGTCTTTTATTTGTACACATTTTCCAGTTGTAGGTTTCTGTGTTTATTCCCATCTTCTGTAAGAAGTTGTTTCTTTCATGTGAGTTGACTGAGACACTGATCTATGAATGTAGCCATATATCATTAGTAGTCATTATATTGCTGTGTTCCTTTAGCAGCATAATAGTAGTAGGTTTTCCTCTAGGCCCATGACCTATCTAGTTTCATGTTCTTGGCCACTTTAGCAGAGTCAGGTATGGGTTCCATCTAATAGAATGAGTCTTAAATCCAATCTAAAAGTTGTTGGTTGCTCCTATAATGTTTGTGCTTCTATTGCATCAGTATATCTTACAGGTGGCTCCCTGTTGCAGGTCTCAGAGTTTGTAGCTGGGTGATAATAATGATGATTAACTTTCTTTTCTGATAATGTACTGAGTGCCTTGAGTGCTAGTCAGTAGTATTGAAGCTTCTAGTTACACATCAGCTTGGCCTTTTCATGTTTAATGACATAAGTAAGTGTTGTCTTCATCAGTAGGGCCTTGCCTTATATTGTTATAAACTATTTAATTAGTTAACTGGATGCTAAAAGCTGTCTACAGGTAAGTTACTGTGTAACTTGGGAATATGTGAAGAATAACACCATGTAGATGAGGGACATACACAATAATTATAGATTATGAGAAAAGGTCAAAATGAACTGTCATTTAAAATCAGAAAATTCAGTTAACAAGAATTTGGAATAGTATTTATTGAACTAGATGTGGGTAACTTAAAAAAAAAACTACTTTGGTAGTGTCATTTGTAAAGTATGTTTTGGTTCAACATTGAAGTAGGCTTTTAAAAAAAAACAACAACTTTACATCCTGGCCATAGCTGCATCCCTCCTCGCCTCCCAGTCTCACCCTCCCTCCCTTCCCCTCCTTCCCCTTCTCCTCCCTCCTCCCCTATTCCTCAGAAAAGGGGAGCCTCCCTTTCCATCTACCAGAGCTCATCAGGTTGTATCAGGGCTGAGCATTTCCTCTTCCCCTGTGCCCTGGCCTTTAGGGGAAAGTAGTTGAAAATCTGGCAAGAGAGTCCATGCCATAGAGAGCCCCCACTCCCTTTACTAGGGGACCCACATGAAGCCTGAGCTGCCCATCAGCTACATCTTTTTAAAGGGGCCTAGGTCCAGTCCATGCAAGGTTTTTGTTTGGTGCTTCAGTCTAAGCAGGCCCCTCTTGGCTCTGGTTAGTTGGCTCTGTTGGTGTTCTTGTGAAGCTCCTATCACCTCTAGGTCTGTTTCTCCTTTCCTGGATTCCACAAGGATCCCTATTGCATTGCCCAATGTTTGATCTCACCATCTGTTTGGAGGCCCTGCTGGGTGGAGCCTCTCAGAGTACAACTCTGTTTGACTCTTGTCTGCAAGTGTAACAGTATCAACAAGTAAGGACAGCTGGCTTACTTGCTGGGTGCAGTGCAGGGGTTAGTGTGAGATAAAAATAGAAAGCCTAAGTTACAGAAGGGAAATCTCAACATTTTACTTTAAGTATTTAGATAATTATCATTGTCAATTAGTTATTAATTAAGTCGTTAGGTAAGAGTTGGTGATCTTAGCTAAAAGTTGTAAAGTAGCCAGAATTGCTCTTTGAAAATGTTAATGAGTTAGCTTTGAAGCAGGGTAACTGTGTTGGTTGGTTACAGGAATGACATCCTTTACAAGAATGTTTTAGGCCTGTGAGTCACAGACACCATGGAACTGTTGAAATGAACACTTAAAACCAAGTATCCTGTGCAACACCCTTTGTTTTGGATTGCTTGGCTTTCCTTTTATCTTTTGAAGCTCGCAGCCAGTTCAATGAGTAGCCCTGCTTTTCCCTTGTGCATCAGTTGACCGCTCAGTCAGTGACTCTCTCCTTCAAAAAGTCTGCATAAGTGAGAACTTATGTATACAAATCTAGAAGAGTGGTTCTCAGACTTTAGTGTTGCTTGTGAATACTTGGAATGATCATCATATCTTAGGCCCTCAAACTAAACTCCTAAAACTAGTATCTACTAGTATCTTCTTTCTCTCTTTTTCTTTCTTTCTTTCTTTCTTTCTTTCTTTCTTTCTTTCTTTCTTTCTTTCTTTCTTTCTTTCTTT